TTTTTAAGATTAATATTATATTTTCAAGATTTTTGAGAGCCGAATTTCCAAAAATGACATCAAATTTTGGGGGTGGCCCCCAAACCAAAATGCATGCCTGCGACAAGCTTGCCGCAAGCTTGTCACAAGCTTGCCGCAAGCTTACAGCATAAATACAAGGTACCTGCATGCTTGCAACAAGCTTGCGCAAGCTTGCGATGACTTTTGAAATATATTGCAAGCTTGTTTAAAATTCATGCAAGCTTGCAAACATTTGATGTAAGCTTGCAATGCCGCAAGCTTGCAATTAGTAGACACTTAGAAAATTTTTGTACAAATCTACACTTAGAAATTTCTTGTGAAAGTAATTGAAACACTTAGAAAATTTTTTGTCAAAAGTGTACACATTAAAATAAAAATTCCAAAAATGATAGTATCAGTGATAATTAACTAGTTTAACTAAATCACCACGCTAAAGTTTATTATTAGTTATTAGTTATTTTATATATTCAGCTCAGTATTGTAAATTTACGAAGAAAATATAAAATCATCATCTATTTTAATGCAAGTTACTGTAAATGATTTGAAATTTGACACTTTATACATTTCATGTCAGTGATTTTCCTACTTATATAACAGACTCCGAAAAAAGGCCTCTTCCCAATTGAAATTTTCTTTAAAATCATGCAGTTTTCCCCAAAATCTGAACTTAAACCAGCTTTTTTACTTCCCAAATCGGCAATTTTAGCGATAATTTTTCCCAAAATCAAGAGGCTAAGGCCTCTTCCCAATTCAGTGAGAAAAATCACTGTCATGTAGTTGGAAAAGGGTATCTCAGAAAAAATGTCTGTGCAAAAGAAGTAAATGAATTGATTGTTAAATACATATTATTATTTCAATAAATCTACATGAAGTTATGTACAATGAAATAATATCCATTTAATTACAGGCTTTAAGTGTAACTATAAATTAATTAAAGTCTGTGATTCAATCATTCAGACACTATAATAATCAAGATGGGATTGCATTGCTTGCCATTTTTAAATTCTAAGAATTCATGTTTTTGGATAACAATAAATAAATAAATAAACAAAACAAAAACAGTGCATGAAATAATCTCATATATATTCTATATTAAATTAATCAATATATTGCTTTTATTTAGGAAAATAAATACTCCACCACTGAGATTTTACGCTACACACATCAGAGCCTTGATAAAATTCATTGACCATCTGTGCATGACTAATTTACTCCCTGGTCATTCAGACAGATCAGGCTGTTCCATGTGATTATTTTGGGGAGAGATAACATTATAAATTTCATATGCAGAATGTGTCTAGAAGGACATTGCAATCTTTTTGTACAAAAATTTGTAATGATTTTTAAAATATTTATATCTATTAGCTATTTGATATTTTCTTTTACGCTCAAAGAATGAAAGTTAAAATGATGAGTAGATTAACCCTGCTTTACATAATGATAGACCTGTCCAGTTTTACAGTAACTGTTGTAAAATTTGAATTCTAAGATATCTGGGTCAGCAAAGAGAGCAGAGGATGTACTTGATATTTTAGCAGTTTTGGAGATATTGTTTTGTTTAACATTTAAAGTGTTTAAGTATTGGTATGATAACAATCAGAATCACCTGGGACAAGGATATATACAACAGAATCAGGTAATTATAAACCTTAAGTTACATTAATGCAGAAACAGGTTATATATCAAATTATTAACATTTGTAACAAGAGATCAAGGTTGTTTTTATATTTTCAACTTCATGCATTTGTTTTTCTGATAATTCTTTTTAATCTATACATGTATAATCTGTAACATATAAATTATTCAATGATTTCTTTTTAATGATTGTTTATATTGTTTAAATGGCATGTTAGTAGATCTTTTTCATTTCCTGCAAATTAAACAAATTAAATCAATTTGATTAAATAGGACTTATTGGTACAATCAGTAGTTAAGTTGTACAGCTGAACAGGGTCAATCATAATCATTTGTTATTTTACATGTATGTGTTGTGTTTTCAATGGAACAATCTAAAATTACATTATACATAAATAATTTGCAGGCTGGTGCTGACTGTGAGAAATAGCGGCAGAGTTTAATAATGATGTGCAGTATTAATCCTGAAAAGGTATATTATTAAATCTCAATACTTTTCTATTCCACATCTTTTCTTGAAAAAATACATACTGGGTAATAAATATTGTCACAAATTTACTTAATTCTCATACAGAGAAATTCTTAAACATTTGTGCACATTGAAATAAGATATACTGCATTGCTTTAGTATTTTTTGAAAATGCATAAGCATAGTTAATATTTAATAGTTAATACTGTTGAAACATTAGATTCGATGTTATTAAAAGATATGTAATATAACTGCATTTATGCAATAAAACATAGTTCATTACTGCATCTGTATTTAATTAATTATGAATTTTATCTTTAAAGGTCAGCACAACCATAAGAAGTTCTAGGAAACACAGGCAGAGGACTAAAAATGGACACCGATAAAAGAAATAGTAATTTAAATAATCAGAAACATTTAAAACAAATTTAAGATTGAATAGTTTGTCACTGACAGACTAAGAGCAAAATAATTGCTTAAAACAAAGTGTTGGATTCTAAGAAAACAAGAACCTACCAAAACCTGCAGCTAGAAAAAAATTGTTTGTGTTATAGTGAATGCAGGGTGTTCTATTCTGTATTTGGACTAAAGGATATGTATTAAATTTTGTGAAAGAAATATGTGATCATGTTAAACTCATAAAAATTCTACCCCAAACATTCCTGTGCTGAATTCCATCCCAGAATTTTACATTTTAAGAACATTCAGGGATGCTGGAATTAGGCTGGATTTTTTCAATGTCATTCCATCAAGGCTGGACTATTTACCATGGTAATTGGAAGAAAACATTAGTATATGAAAAATTTAACATCAGCTTCTTTTTACAATTTATGATTAAATAAGTTTATCATGGTAATTAATGCCTTTTTTTTGCATGTTATATAGGATTCAGAGACTGTTATACGTAGCAGCTCCCTTTCCAAATAGGGTTTACAGTTTTTGCAAGCCTGCGATTAAGCTTGCGCAAGCTTATACATTAAGCTTGTAGTTATACATGCACAAGCTTGCGACTTAGCCTGTGCAGGCTTGCAGATAAACCTGCGCAAGCTTGCAAATAAGCTTGCGCAAGCTTACGATTAAGCTTGCGCAAGCTTGCGATTAAGCTTGCGCAAGCTTGCGATTAAGCTTGCGCAAGCTTGCGATTAAGCTTGCGCAAGCTTGCGATTAAGCTTGCGCAAGCTTAAATATTAACTAGTTTGCAGTCAGATTTTTTTAAATAACTGATCGCAAGCTTGCCGCAAGCTTGCCGCAAGGTTCCAATTACTAGCCAGTAGCAAGCTTGCAACTTAAGCTTGCAGCAAGCTTGTGACAAGCTTGCAATGTTAGCTTGCGATTTTGGTTTGGGCGAGCTGGCCCGGGGGTTCTATTTTTGTCTACATTTAAAGTTTTATGCAATAAACTGTATACTTTTCAGGTTTTAACTTTAATACAGTGACAATCAAATAAAATTCAAGCAATCTGGTATAAATTTATTGTCAGTTTTCATTTTTTAAGCGTTTAAGGTAAGTAATGTAGTTTTTCTAGCCGATTTCCGAAAATCTTGCATAATTACAAGGTAAGAAGACATACAAATAACATATTCTTGGTAAGTACTGATTTATTGAATCATATCAAGGCTATTATTAATCCTTCCTTCATTCCCCCATAGTAAACAGGTATAGGATAATATTGAAGGGGTAATATTTACTGCTGCACCAAAAAGTTTAGTGGGAGGGGAATTCAAAATTCAACATGTGAAAAACAATCATATTTAGTCCAAAATTTTCCCACAATGAATTAAAACAGGTAATAAGTGACCTGCAACTTTGTTTAATGATTGTATTTAGATGTGAATTCTTCAAAACAAAATACAGCAGAAACTAAATTTAATGTTTTTTCTTCCCTGTCAATGACATTGAAAAAGTCAGTGCACTAGTCAACGGTTTTTAATAATATCTGTATAAATATATACTAATATATGTCTTGATTATGATGTTTTTTTTTGCTATAACATTATATTTTATACAGTACATATAAATTCATGAACAAAAATCTATTCTTTAAGCAGTTTATGAGCAACTCATTCAAAAACGGTGCTTCAGTAAAAATATCCCCTTCAAATATATCCTATCTTGTTTTCTAGGTATGATGCAAAGGCAGCATCATGGAAGGAACTGTAAATGAAAAGTCCAAGAAAAGAAAACTATCATTTACTGAAAACAACTGTGTCTTTTGCAATAAGAAGTTTCTTAAACAATCTGAAAGAACTGAATTAAACCCATTGAAGTTTGATACACTGCTAGATGTTTGTAAAAGCAGAGGTGATGAAATTTCAACAAACATTGTTACATATGAAGACAAAATAAGAAATGGAGAGCTTAAACTTAATTATCACAAAGTATGTCGTTCTAAATTTGTGCACCCTTTTTACAACAAACAAGGGTCTGAAAATGAAGAGAAAAATATTAAAAATGATGAAAATTTAACCCCATCAAAATCTACACGATCCCAGCTTGGATCTGAATTTCTGTGGAAAGAGCGTTGTTTCATTTGTGGTGGAAAATGTACCTCAAAGAACAGACTTTGCTGGTCTATGATTGAAGGCTCTTTGGGGCGTCCGTGGCCCAGTGGTTAAGGTCGTTGACTTCAAACCACTTGCCCCTCACCGCTGTGGGTTCGAATCCCGACAGGGACTTTGGATTCTTTCATGTGAGGAAGCTATCCAGCTAGCTTACGGAACGTCGGTGGTTCTACTCAGGTGCCCGTTCGTGCCTGAAATAATGCACGGAAGGGCACCTGAGGTCTTCCTCCACCAGTAAAGCTGGAACGTCGCGATATGACCTATACTGTGTCGATGTTACGTAAAACCCAAAACAAAAAAAAAACAAACAAAAAAATGATTGAAGGCTCAATTGATGAGAATTCTAAGCTGTTCTCAAATTTGCTACAAGTAGCTGTAAGTAAAAACGACAATGCATTACAAACACGGTTGCTGAGTACACATGGAGATTTGGTAGCTGTTGAAGCAAGATACCATAGACAGCCCCAATGTTTGAGTAAATACTTATTACGGAAATACCCGGCTGATGATAAAAGTACATGTAGTCTAAACAAAGCTTGCCAATTGCTGAAGTCTGAGTTAAATGACAAGATTGAAAAGGACAAAATTACCTATGACTTTAGATACTTACGAACAAAACTGATTGAAATTTCAAGAGAAAATGGTTTAGACATACCAGACACTATGTTACGTGCAGGCCGTGTAAAGGAAGCACTGGTGCAAGTTTGGCCAGATCTGAAGTTTGTTGCTAGAGAAGGTTTAAGTTACCTTGTTTGTTCTCAGGGTGTTACAGTAGATGAAGCATTGTCAAAGTCTGTGCAGCTGCAGAAGGCTTTAGAAGATATAACTGAACAAGAAGAACTTGAAACAAGTATAACAGAAAGTATAAATGATAAGAATGCAAATGAAATATCAGTTGTCCATGAAGCAGCTGGGATATTGAGGAGGAGAATCTTGCAGACTGAAGGTCTAGACAAAGAGTACTTTTCTTCCATGGAAATAGGACTGTCCACCCAAAGAGAATTTTTGGATCCTCTGTTAGTGCGCTTTGTTACATGGTTGGGATCAGAATCCAAACTAAAAGATGGACATGACTTACTTGATAGTGACACTGATCAGAGAACAGTTTCAATTTGCTCAGATATCACAGCACTAGTTAAGCCAGTTATAACCCCAAAACACCTTGGATTATCGATATATTTGCACCACTCATATGGAAGCAAGAAGTTAATCGAGGACCTTCATTCACATGGGTACACGCTCTCATACACAGAGATCAGGCATTTCCTCACATCAGCAGCAATTCATATGGCATCTGTTCAAGAGAGAACACTGTCAGGTAAAAAAGCAACTAAAATAATTATTTAAGATATGTAAAAATGTATGTTACTACGTATGATCAGCAGAATTTGTTCTTATAATACATTAGCTCATGCTATTATAAATTTTATCTGTGTAAATAAATAAATAAATAAATAAATAAATAAATAAATAAATAAATAAATAAATAATTTTTACGACGACAACAACAACAATATCATTTATTAGGTCATGGTAACAAGTGTAACAGGCAATAAATAAATAAATAAATTTAATACTTTCAGGTGGAATTATCCCTGCACACATGACACGAGATGAGCAGGAGCGATCTGATGACTTGATCATTTTGGCAGCCGACAACTGGGACCATAATGAAAGTACCCTGAGTGGCAAAAAGTCAACACATGCCATGACCAGTATTTTGGTCCACACACCTTCAAGTGGCGAACAGTCAGCACCCCGCATACCTAGAGTGAAGGAGAGGTCTATCGACACTGTAGAACTGCCTGGTAAACAAAATGAGTTTGATTGACCCACATCATGCCAAAACAATCCTTATGGCTTTAGTTACCAGTATCCTTTGTCAGATCCTCAAGGGCGTAGATATAATTTTGAGTACCAAGTAAAATTGGATAAAAAGATAGCAAAAATACCATCCAAACTATAATTAGTATCAGATATTGGAAAAAGTAACCATCAGAAATGTTCAAGTGTTAAAGAAGATGAATATTCTAGTTTTCCCATTTCTATACACCAGGACCCACTTGCTCCCAGGCAACAATTATAATAATTTGGCTGCTCAATTATTTCTTTGTAACATCTTTTTACATAATAACATTATTCCAAATTCAATCTTGTTTCTTGAAAAATATGTATACAAGTCATCCACTTAATTTCAGTTTTTCTTTTTTATGATATCTTAAATTGCTTTCAGGAGATGGTCTCGCACATACATTGGTTTACCAGAAGCCTACAGAGCGGCCAAATCCCCAGCTTAATCCTCCGGTGCAGATGTCGGAACTAAGTAGCCCAGAACCAGCTGAAGCCAGACAACTACGTTTGAATGACATATTGTACTCAGTGGGCCGATTTGAGTCTTTGTTTCCACCATGGACAGTTTTCCAGTCAAATATACAAACTGACATTCTCACTAATTCATCTGAAATAATATTCAATCCAATAATTATGGCCCCACCAACTGAACTCAATACAGTTTACACAACCCTAAAACGAAGTAAAGAACAGGTTAATGCACTAGGTCAGACAGAGTGTCCTATTGTATTTGATATGGGTTTGTTGTCAAAAGCATTAGAAATTGTATGGGCAAAGCCACTTGAGTTCCAGGGAGTTATTCCTCTTGAAGGAGGCATGCATTTTTTGATGAGTGTATTTGGTGGCATAGGGCATATATATGGGGATGCTGGACTAAAGAATTTGTTGGTAGAGTCAGATGTGTTTGCCAGAAATACAGCAGATCATATACTCTCTGGCAAAGATTTTGACAGGGCCCTTCGTGCTCTTATCATGATTGATGAAGTGTTAAGCCAGAGATTTTTGTTTCAGTTCTACAGATGGGGGCAGCAGAAATCACAGCTAGTGCCAGTATCACTTTTGCAGAAACTTCAACAACTTGATGTGAAGTCAGCTGATACAAGTCTTCTCCAGGAGACCACAGCACTTTTAGAAACCCACATGGTTCCTCTCATGGAAGTATTTCGTCACCAAGGTAGGACTGAATCAGAACTCTTCCAATTCTGGGATGACTACTTGATGAAAGTCTCCAAACCTCTGAAACTGTACCTAGCTGCTTCAAGGCATGGTCTTTGGGATACCTTTCATTACTCAAAGTCACTGCTACTACCATTCATGTTTGCAGCAAACAGAACAGTATATGCAAGATATATGCCTTATATGCTGTTGAAGATGAATCGACTGCCAGATGCCATACTCAAATCCTTCAAGAAAGGTAAATTTGTTGCCAAATTGACAAAAGGAGTATTCAACTCTGTATGGATCGACTATGTCCTGGAAGTGACGGAGAATAAGGCACTGAAGTCTTCAGGTGGCATAATTGGCCTCACACACAATGACAGTGCCCTGTCTCGGTGGTTCCTATCCAGACCAGTTACAGCTAAGTATGCTGTTGAATTTTCGTCTGCTGGAAAGACTCCAACAGTGAAACATCACACAGACACACCTTTCCACATGAGTGCATATAACGAAGCTGTCAGAAACATGCTGAGTCTGTTTGAAAACCAGGTCTTCGTAGACCCCTTTTGCCTGACTGATCCACCGGACACTCTGGTAAACTTCGCTACAGGTGTTGCAGCAGAACCTGAAGTTGCTAGTAGTCTTCTTAACTGTCACTCTACTGGTATGTCGATGTTAACAGATTTCGTGCAAGACAGGTTTCAGGTTGAAGGGAGACCAGCGCCGAAGAAGAATTTCTTCGATCCAATCCCAAGGGCAAACATAAAAACCATGAGCTCAAGAAAGGCAAGGACCATTCGCATGAAAGCCAAAGATATAACCATTAATGGCGAAGAAATGTACCTCCGGCTGCTGGCAATCAACGCCTATAAGAGAGTGCCACTAGAACGTGTCATGTCATTTGAGAATGCTCCTGTCCCTCTTAGTTTATTTCATGATGATGGCTCAATGACTTCCACCAAAAAGTCTGACTTTCTGGAAAAACTTGAACAACTTGCAGAACCTGAAAACATTCCTAGAAATATGCAAAGAGTAGATTGTATTGTTTTCGATGGAATGGCAATTATTCAATTACTTCAGCCACCAACAGGTTCAAAACCTACATACAAGCAAATGGCAGACAGCTTCTGGACATATATAATTTCTGGATGTCAGCAAACAGCTCAAGTCCATGTAGTCTTCGATAGATATGAAGAAAACAGTCTGAAAATGCAGACACGGCAAAAACGTGGAGAGAGTGCTTCAGCCTCAGCCATAACAATCCAACCTAATATGGTGATTGGCGACTGGAAAAGGGTGCTGACCAGCAGCAAGTGTAAAAGCGAGCTAACAAAAATGTATACAAGGCATTTAACAGAAAATTGCCATACCCTGATTGCTGAGGGCATGCAACTGTTTGTCTCTGGTGGGTTACAGCAGAAGACTCTATTGGTTACAAACAAGGCAGTTTCATATGTTGGTGGCCTTGAGTCAAACCAAGAGGAAGCTGATAGCAGAATGTTGTTCCACTTGGCACATGCATCGGCATCATTAAGGATCAAGAGTGCAACAGTGGTAAGTCCAGACACAGATGTGTTTGTTCTACTGGTCCACCACTATGATAGTCTGGGAATAGAAGTCGTGTATTTCAAGACCGGCAGAAAGGGTTTGTACTGTAACCTTACAAGATACATACCAGTGCATTTGGTGTACAGAGCACTGAATCCCAACGAAAGAGCCGTTCTACTTCCAGTTTATTGTATCACAGGGTGCGACACATGTTCCTCCTTCCATGGAATTGGGAAGAAGAAAGCTTTCCATGTTCTGCGCAAACATTCACCACAACTGACAAGCCTAGCAGACTTGGGTCAGCTGCCAGAAATATCTTCTGAAACAAAAGCTGCAGCCATTCTCTTTGTTGGTTTGCTCTATGGGCAAACATGTTGCACATCTCTGAATATCCTACGCAAAGAACTTGTCTTGGGTAAGGTTAGAGTCAAGCCGAGAAGATTGCCACCAACAAATGACAGCATGATGTTACACTTACTAAGATGTGCATACCAGCTGTTCATTTAGAGAAATGCTTTGAACCCTCAGCCTGAACTAGATCCACTCGAATGTGGGTATGTGACTGACAACAGGGGCTTGTACTCGCCTCAACTCATGTCACAATCGTGCGCACCACCAGAGATTTTGAGTGATATGGTATGTGCTTGTGATGACCATTGTAGTGAGGAATGTATCTGTCAGGAAAATGAACAACCATGTACAACAGCATGCAGCTGCAATGGTACACTACAAGATTCTGATGACATCTGTCAAAATTTGTTTACAATGCTGGCAAGTGTCTCTGCAGATGAGGACCTATACTACTATGATTTTTGCCTAAGCACATTGTTAATAGTTAGTAGAATATAATAGCTATTTGTGCTTTGTTGAAGTCTATAACTGTGAACTTTGCATAATTAAGTTGTGTCTAACAGTAAGGAGAAACATTGTTTGTACTTATATTGTATGTTCTGCCAATCTGTAGCTTTTATCCTAGTTTTGTTTATATTCAATATGTTGATCAGGATGAAAATAACCACCGCAGCTTTTAAAATGTCAAATGATGAAATGTCAGACTTGAACATTTGAGTGCAGTTGTTTTGATCACTTCATATACTAAAGTTTGGACATTGATGTGTTTTTCTGCAAATATTTGTTTTATTTAAGAATAGCTTTAGCCTGATCTTAGCCAATGGCAAGCTGTGCAGAAAATTCTTGTCAACATGCTAGTTTTGTATTATATCTACAGTATTTATTCGGAAAAGGCCAAAATCTGCATTAACAGCCATGTTAAGCATAGTTTTGCTTAACAGTCATGATGATTTTATCATACAACAAGTTATGCTTAAATATGTGCTTATGTAAGCTTAACAGTGTAAAAATGAAATATGTTGCATTTATTCACTTTTTGTTCCGTTTGCGAATTTATATATATAATACTATACATTATAACAGTTTTTTGCAGATAAAATGCCCCAACCACATAAAGATCATAAATATTGTGAATGTTGATAATGAATGTGTTACAAAATGTTTGAAATAGTAAGTATTATATACTACTGAAGTGTTATAAGTAAAAATAAACTGCATGTATTGTCCACATCTTGAAATATTTACGAAAATATTACCCCTACCCCCTGATTTTCACGCAATTTTTGGGTATTATTCACCAAAAAAATCGCAAAGTATGATATTAATCTCAGAAAAGCTTAAATATGTTTAGATTTATGTCTGTTCTTATAAAATAATCAATAAAAACAAAGTTAAATGCCATAAAGGACACCCTATAACCAACATAAGTCTGATTGGGCATTTTTTATTTTTTGGCGGCCATCTTGGCGGCCATCTTGGATTCTGGAAAATGCAGTGACTTATGCCAATTTATGCCGGCAGTTTCAAGAACTACAGACTATGCCGAACATTTTGGTATGTAACAAGTTTTGTTAGTCTTCATGGTCGGGTCCCTTGTTTTTGAGGGCCAGATTGTCACCCTACCAAAAATATACATATGAAAAAGAAAACCCTTATTTTCTTTTTTTTTATTATGTCTTTTGACAATGTTTAATATTCATAAGTTTGAAAATAAAACAAACGTACATTTTTATTTTGCCTTTATTGACATATATGAATTTAATTAAATTCCTTTTATATTTCACTGATAAGCACATAAATATCAAATTTTTGAATGCAAGATTATAATGTTCTATGGCATAGTACAGTTAACTATAACAAAATGACAATAATACTTATTTTAATTTTTGTCCCTTGAACTAGGAATTTTCACCTTAAAATTAGAAATAAAGCCATATGAGCCACGTCACGACAAAACCAACATAATGGGTTTGCGACCAGCATGGATTCAGACCAGCCTGCGCTACCGCGCAGTCTGATCAGGATCTATGCTGTTCGCTATTAGTTTCTCTACTTGTTATAAGGTTAGTAAGCAAACAGCATGGATCCTGATCTGGTCTGGATCCATGCTGGTCGCAAACCCATTATGTTGGTTTTGTCGTGACGGGGCTCATATACTTTTTGGCATTGGGAATATGACTCAATACCAATCATCACACATGGGCCAGAAAAAAACCTGTCATGGTCTGAACTGTTCGCTATTCAGAATGTACATATTTTGCAAAATTTCCCCTAAAACTGATGAATGGTTTTGTCCAAAAATATGAGATGGCAGATGAGTCCATTTCTACTATTCAGTAGGTTAAGGGATAAACTTCTTTCGTTTTGGCACAGCATAATCGGGGAAATTAACATTCATAGCCCTCCTGGATGTTCCTGCCTTTGTATTTATAATGCGGTTGAACTGTGTACTGTTGAAGCCAAATTCACTTGTGGCGAATACTGAAAAGAGAGATTAAAAGAAATTTATTTAAAATGATATTTCATGTTTAAATAATATAATTCTCTACATTATTTTATATATATAGGTCATATTACATGAATGCATCAATTGCATGCGGTTGCCCACACTTTTTTATAGTGCTAATAATCATTTGTTGTTTGTATAGGTAGGTGGAACCAGAAACTATTTTTTAAGAAGTGGGTACCTCAAGACTGCTTTAAGTTATTGATTTTCATAATTCAACATTGGATTAAACATATTTATTTAAGCTCAATTGCAAAACAAGTTCTTGCAACTTATATTAATTACTTTCGAGTCTGCTTTCTGGACCAAACACTGGTGTCATATGGAGAAACATGGTTGTGACCCAATTAGGGTTCGAACCCATGATCCCTTTGGTTGAGGGCCAGACACCGTAACCACTAGGCCTACAACCCTGACGCTGTTGAAACTGGAAGTTGAGTAGTTTTCTTCTTTCACTATATTTGGATTTGGATTATTCAAAACCATTGATTTTTCTAAGTTAATTTTCAGTCTCTAGCAATTTGAATCATCCTATTTTAAATATTAAGCAGGAAATAATTATAAACTTTACAAAACTTTTTTTTTAAATTACTTACATTCAAGCGCTTCAAAAATTTCTTTTTTGTCCCCAGTCATACCCGCCAACGACCCTGATGTAAGGCCCTGCAGATCCCAAGGATTAAAGAAGCCATCGATGTATTTTTTCACCGCGTGGGCTGGTTTAAAGTGTTTCGTTCTTGCTTCCATAGTTTTCTTCCATTTTAATGTAACCAGTACATTAGAGCCCGGGCCACCAAACTGGCAGTATCCTGGATGGACATCTGTTTCATTCAAATTTTGCTGAATTATCTGAAATTGTTTGAGAAAACATTCTTGATATGAAATATATTCTTTTATCATATACATGTACTTATAAATGACATATTGAGAAATTAAATAATGATGAAAAAAATGCATATTTTCATTTTCCATATTTTCACTGTAAAAATTTATTTTCACTGCAGTAAAGTATTTCAATTCTAGCCCAATTAGCCTGAAAAATTCACTAATGACTGAATTTGAAACAGAAAATCTCATTTTTCTCAAAAATCAAAGAGAATAAAATTTACAAAGTAAGTGTGTAAATCATTATTCTTGACATTTAAGTTTCCAATTTAAAAGTTTAAAAATTTGGGCTTGTAAAATCCTTTTCTGGCCAACCTCTATCCTGGCTCAAAATTCATTGCATAATTTTCTTTAAATTACACTTACATAGTCTGCTTTTGGAATCTTTAGTCCTTTACTGGGAGTATAGCTGTTGTAAGTTGCTGTTGGCATACCTTGGGACTGCAGAGGTATTTCTTGTTGAAGGTCATAGGTACCTGAAATAATTTTATCCAAGTAAATCAATAAAACTGTAAGTTCAGTTTGTAAATTATTCGCTTGATTATGACTTGCAAATTGAAAAGCTAAAAAATGGGAAAATTTAACAAACCTGGAAATCAAAATATGATAACAAAGTTATGTCAATTCAAGCATTTCAAAAATTTCACCTTTGCAGCCAAGGTCAATTAAAGGTCAAGGTCATATCAGAGTATTTTGTTACATGTGTTCTTTGAATCAAATCTCTAAGTGAATAACCAAGTAATGACCATACAAGCAAATTTCAATAATTTCACCTTGACAGTCAAGGTCAATTACAGGTCAAGGTACATTTAATATCAGAATAATTCAACTGGTCCATTTTGTTACATGCATTCTTTTGTCCAAGTATGAATCAAATTTATAAGTAAATAACAAAGTTATGACAATGCAAGCAAATTTCAATAGTCAAGGTCAATTAAATGTCAAGGTCATATCAGAATAATTCAACATGTTGGTTTTGTCGAATCTGTTCTTTTGTCCAAGTATGAATTAATTTTGTTAGTAAAAAACAAAGTAAATTCAATAATTTCATGTTGATGGTCGAGGTCAATTAAAGGTCAAGGTTATATCAGAATAATTTTGTCATAATGTTGTTTTTTGTCTAAATATTATTCAAATGAAATCTGTAAATAAAATAGTTATGCTTAGTTGTAGCAAAATTTACTTATTTGGCCTCAAGTGTCAAGGTCAAATTAAGGTGAAGATCAAGTTCACTTAAAGACTCTTTAATGCTTTGTGGATGGTTGTGCTTTTGTTTGTTTGTTTGTTTCATTTTACGCCTTTTTCCAACAGTATTTCAGTCATATAGGCGGGTAGTTTCCTAACCATCGTTCCTGGAGAGTTACACCAGTAATAGACTACCTTCCTCCGCGCTAAACTACCAAAGCATCTCCCGGGGATCGAACCCACGCCAGAGAGGTAACTGGATGAGAAGTCATCGACTCGAAACCCTTGACCACGGAGGCAGTTAGGATGGTTGTGCACAAGTATGAAGACAAAACATCAATTAATTTCCCTGTTGTAGCCAATTATAGCAAAAAACTGTGAAAATACAATAATATGACCTTCAAGGTTATTTATATGTCAAGGTCAAATTTAGACCGTAGCAATTGCACGAAATATTTCTCCTAAGTCAAGCTTAAACAGGGGAAAAATAAAAAAAATCTAGTGTCATTTTTATCTTTTTATTATTTTTATCTGTTTTTATACCAAATTGAAACACAAAAATGAGGAAACACACACACAAAAAAGAAGAAAGTTAAATATTTTGACATAAAAGAGAATGATATTTGAAATGAGCATAACTGCATAGTTATAATTTTCTCTACTACAACATACAACAACCAACATTTTTTACAAAGCATCATAAAACTGTTTTGAATAATGTACGATGCCAGAGTGGATTAAGGAAATCATTGTGTTTTTAAATTACCATGTCTAAGGCCTAAACAATTTAATGTAAAACAAATGGTCTGGTAGTGAAAACCACCTAGCTATTACATGTAGTCTATATATTTTAGCAGGCACCTTTCTTGAAAACTGAAAAAGAATAATTTATCCAACATCAGCTTTCCAAATCAAAAATGATGTACAACATTTCCTTAAAACTTTAACTTTGTTTATCACTGATAACATATTCTAGAAAGCATAACTATAAGAGTAAACTGGACAAACTTTAAAAATAAAATCATTAAAGAACTATAACTGACAAAAATCATTGAACCAGAAAATGCCATTGATATGCAAAACTAGACTTGGTACTGATCATTTCTGTAAAATTTGGATGTAAACACAGTTAAGTAACTTGATAAAGTCAGTACCTTTAGTTCTTGCCAGAAAGAATGTAAATTGGAAACTTGGACCTATATCTTTCTAAGGTGCATCATTAATCGCTCCAGCACTACTTCAGAACTTGTGCATCTTGACAAACTTAAAAGTGTTTAAAGGGAAAGTGGTATTTTATTATATCTATATCCAACATCGAAGACTGTGAGCTTTACGATGTAGATTTGATTTAACTTTTAAGTTTCCAGGAAATGTAAAGTTGATTTATATTTGAACTGTAGTAATATGGCAGCATTTCCCAGTTAATTTAGGGCTGAAATAATTTCAAATTGAAATTTCACTCTTTCACAATGTATAAATATTATGATACTATTGCCTCAAATCTCCATTTAAACTTAAAAAATTATATGTCTTAAAGGAACTCCACTAAGGTCTAAATGCTGAAAACTTAGAATTTTATTTTCTCACATAGATCAGCTGAGGCAATTAAAACAGAAAGTTATTCAAAGGATGATTTGTAAACATAATCAGAAAATTAATAAATTGAACATTTTTATATCTGTGCTATTTTTAGCCAGACTTGAGTGAAAAGCATTGCAACACTTTTCAACTTTAGGTCACTTTTCAAAATTATAATAATTGTCCTGGAAAAACGGAGTGAGCAATTAAGGTCTGAAATTTTGCACTTAGTTATTAGTGTAGACCTACATCAAATGGAACATAAATCTCAAAAATAAATGTCCAGTCCTCTCTTGTCAAAAAACCTCAGTTTTTATTCCCTTTAAGAATATCAGAATCATTTTGAAACTTAGAGACATCCAAGGCATTAGGCTACTAATATTAACATTTATCTCCACTATATAATTTTGTACACAATACATAAATTATGCAACTATAAAACACAAGGCATTAGGTTACTAATGTAAACAGTTTTTCTCCAGTATGAATTATCATACATCAAAAAGAGGGGAAAACTGTAGTAAATTTCTAAAACTGTGAAATTGTACTTGTGAAGACAGTGAAACTAAACACTGTATCTGTTATTTAATATGAACTATCTGTTATTTTATATGAACTATCTGTGATTTAATATGAACTATCTGTTTTTTTATATGAACTATCTGTTATTTCATATGAACAATCTGGTGTGCTTTCATGTTTCCTTTCTGTGTAAAACCTTTGCCACAAACTTTACAGGTGTAAGGCTTCTCTCCAGTATGTACTCTCATGTGTAGACGTAGATGGGAAGGTGTAGGAAAGGCCTTCCCACAAGTTGAACAAACATGACCATTTCTTCCCAGTGTGTCGTTTTGAAGTATGCCTATAAAAGATAATGCACAAGATAATAATTATTGCGTATTTTAGACTATACTATAATATCACATAACTATACTCATTAATTAGCATATCACATGTAATCATTAGCATATCTTAATATTATAATCATTAGAATATCACATAAAATCTTTAGCATAAAACATATATGTATGTGATATGCTAATGATTAATTACATGTGATATGCTTTCTAGAATGCGTTATGCATCACTATTTATTTATTCTAAAACATACAATAAAAATTTTTTCACAAAATATTTCTCCAATGAAAATCCATGGATATCGCCAAAGTTTAACGAGAACATGAAAATTGGAGACAAGCGGGGATCACCGAAGCGCGCATTAAGGATTGTGGGTCTGAATCTAACTATCGTTTATTTTCAAAGCTTCCTATCCGTTGTATATATATATATATCTGTGATTATGACTTGCAAATTGAGGAGATAAAAAAATGGGAAAATTTAACAAAAGCTGGAAATCAAAATACCAAATTAACAAAAATATGACAATGCAAGCAAATTTCAATAATTTCACCTTGACGGTTAAGGTCAGTTAAGGTCAAGGTCATATCAGAATAAATCAATATGTTGGTTTTGTCAAATCTGTTCTTTTGTCCAAGTATGAACCAATATTGTTAGTAAATAACAAAGTTATAACAATTTAAACAAATTTGAATAATTTTACCTTGAAGGTCAAGGTCGATTAAAGGCCAATGTAAACATTAGCATATCTTAATATTATAATCATTAGAATATCACATAAAATCATTGGCATATTACATATATTAATCATTAACATAATTATCACATATAATCATTTATTTAGCATATCATGCATAATCAAAAGCATATCACATGATTGTAATCATTAACATATCTTAATAATCATTAGCATAATTATCATGTTATCAAATATATAATGCAACATATTATCAAAACATCACTTACACTCTTAGCATATAGGAAGCTGATAGAATTGTGAAAGACTTTTTTTTTATCATATCTTAGAAATAAAATATATTGGAATGACCCCCCAAAAAATGGCAACCAGGGGAAGTAAGACATGATATGTGAAAAGCATCAGATATATTTAAGTGCTATCAGTTACTGTATTGTTTAAAGAAAATGTTGTACATCTTTAAAGAAAGCTTATTATGAAGCGGTCCATATTGTAGGTTGGTGGTTCAAGTCAGGTGCCTCAGCGGCTGAGGTGCCAGCACAGGTGTGCCATCAAAGGTGCTAGCAAAATATTGATTATTTTGTTATTTATGCAATATTATTATAAAATATACCATATAATATCTTTTTTATGTTTTAGGCTTTTTAGACTTTGGTGGAGTCCTTTTAACATTTTTAAAGAACCAATTAATTTCAATGTTTTATTCAATATATAATTATTCCACTTTGTTAAATAATAAATAATTTACAATGGGAAAATATGAAACAGATATGAAAAAGTGATTCTGATTGAGAGAATCTGCTTCCATGTTTAATTTAGATTTTTTTTTTTTGGTTTGAAAATAAAAATTTCATTGGTATCAGTGATTTTTTAAGGTAGGTAGCATGAGAGAAAACAAATAAGTTTTTATTTCAGGCCTACCGATGATGCAGCTTTGAAATAGAGCTGTCACCTTAATGAAGACTTATTATGATTTACTTGTAATACTTAGAAAAGTATTAGTATAAAATAAACTGACTGTTAACCATCTATCCCTCCCAAAATCAAAGCACAGAAGGCGCTGAATTTGTTTGGGTCTTAGAATGTCAGAAAGGTGAAGGTTGTGAGATTATAAACCAATTTGTTTTTGTATAGTGACACCAATGCTTTCTGCCGTTTTAATTGTAGTAAATTGGCTATAAGACTAATAAAAATTATTGCAACACTGATATTCAATTCAATGTTGATATGACTAATAAACAAGTTGGAAAAAAAATGAGTTGCCTTATCTAGGATTTGAACTCCAGACCTCTCGCTTCCAAAGCGAGCGCGCAAACCCCTCAGCCATGGTGAATAAAGAATATATCTATAAAGAATAAAACAATATTAGA